GCCAACCTCATTCTTCTTGGACACTAGACGAGAGCTCGGGACTCAGCAACTGCGGGTACCCGAAAAAGATTGTCATGCTGGCCCTCTGCTGTCACTGGCGGAGGGCAGCCACCCCACACGGTAAAGCAAGGAGCCTACTGAGCTGATAACACACTGCCGTCCATGGACAGCAGAGCTAAGAGAGCACTGTAACGTGTCCTCTGGGGCTTCAGGGTTTGCAGGCACCCCGACCTGGGCACCGCCATGGGGCCTGCATGGAGCCTCCTTTTGCCCACGCCCAAAGCAGCCAGCCAGATCCTGCACTTGCCGCCCCCATGCTCCCTCCCGCAAGGGGTTGAGCATGGCGGGCCGACATAGACAGGACACGCCACCACGCCTGGCTAATTTCATCATATTGGTCAGGCTGGTCTCGAACTCCTGACCTCATGATCCGCCCTCCTCGGCCTCTCAAAGTGCTGGGATTACAGATGTGAGCCACCACATCCGGCCTTGTCCCTATTTCATTTCACACAGGGGTAAACTCTAGAGAACTGAAGTGGCAACACTTGATTCCATCTCAGGTCGGCCTGATCTCAATCCTGGTGTTTAGTGTAAGACCCAGATAGGTGGCCAGAACTGAAGACCCCTTGACTCCAGCTCTCAGAGACACTGTCTAGCAGGCGAGACCTGGCACTTCTGCAAACAACTCCAGAACAAGGGGGAGAGTGGGGGCAGTATAAGAGCATGCTGCGGGAAGTCAGGGGCGGTAGTATTTGAAAATGGGCGCTTGGAGAGTGGGAAGGATTTGTCCTTGTGGGGAACGACAAGAGTAGAGGATCTTAATGTGAGAGCTCAACCTGCTTTGGCGTCCTCCAAGAAACCCCCTTCGAGGTCTGGCTGCTCCGCTTCAGTCGCTTTAAGAGTGGCCCCGCCCCACCCAGCCGCCCATGTCGATCGAATCTGAATGGCCAATAGTAGAAGAGAAGAGACCACTTTCGCGCTTCAACCGCACTAGGGGGCGGGGAAGAGGGCGGGAGAGGCGGACTATCAGCTTGGTCACATGACCCGCCTAATTGGCCAGAGGCTGCGGCGGCCCTGAGCGACTTAGCGATGCTCATTGGCCAGAAACGGGTGGGCCTGGCGCTAGGCCACGCCCCTGACGGCCTCGGTTTGGTTGCGCAGCTGCAGGGGAAGGAGACGCTGCCCTTCCGTAGCGATGGGATCCCGGGTGAGTATCGGCCCGGGCTGAGCCCCCGAGGCGGTCGGGCAGCGCGGCAGGGCCGGGGACTTGAGCGGAGGACCGAGTGAGCGCGGGTGTCCGGGTCCAACTGGACTGGGAAGGTGCCGGGTTTGGAATGAGTGGGCACCCGGGCCAGGGACGGTGCGAGAGGGTACCTTGCTTGAGAGTGGAACGAGAAGGTACTTGGGTCAGGGAGGTGATGCCCAGGCCTGGAACGTGGCGGGGATTGGAGCAGGCGCGCAGGTACCCGATCCGAGGCGGGGAAAGCACCCGGGATGGAAGGAGCAGGTGTGCTGGCCGTGAGCAGCGCCAGAAGGTACTTGGGTGAGTTTCAAGGATATTCCGGGGTAGGGGCAAGAGAAGAAGGGGCTGCCCAAGATGTCTGGGGTGGAGTGGGCAATTTCTGAAGACAGGGATATTGCTGAGGTCCAGCGCGGGGGTGCCCACTGCCCGGCATGGTGGGACTGTTGAGGGGTCCGGCATGGGATGAATAGGAGACTGGGCAGAGTGGCTCAAGGGAGTTGGGGACGTTGTTGGGGTCCAGGCGGAATGAGCGAGTGGACAGGCCAGAGTCATTAGTGGGGTTGCCTAGCGCAGGGGAGGAGGCGCGTGGGATGATAAGCTTAGACACCCAGGCTGAGGGTGCTGTAAGTGCTCTGGTGACGGTGGAATGAGGAGGTGTCTGCCTAAGATTGTAGGGCACGAGAGATGGCTGCCCAAGTGGGGCCAGGCCCTGCACAGCAGTAGAAGTGTCCATTTGGTAGGGAACATTGCTGTGGACTTTTCATTGTGGAGAGGAGGTGGAGGGGTCTCATCTTAGGCCCTGGGGGATGGCCAGGGTGCCAGGGGGACAGACACAGTGTGGGTTGACTGGATTTGGATCCATCCCTGGAGTGAAGCAGGCTTGGGGGCTGGTGGTGTTACCTTGCACCTGCAGGCTCTGCCTCCCAGTGGGGACAAGGGGCTGCTCTGGACTCTCCCGCAAACAGTGGGCCTCAGTCACCCCTGGAGCATGTGTTCAGGCTCATCTTTAAGGACATGTGGGCTTCTCACTTAGAGGCCCAGAAGTGCTACAAGTGTGGCCTGGAAGGAGCGGTGGCAGTTGTAGCTGGCAGCAGCTGGGAAGCACTACCACAGTCTTGAGATCCCCCAGAACTTGGCCGCTTAGTACTCAGTGACCTCAGGCAGGCTGCCTCATCTCAGAGCCTCCGCGTTTCCCCATCCTTGAGATAAACATTGGTCATTGTGAGGGTTCTGAGAGGACTGGACCCAAAGCCTGTCGTGGAGAGTCTGTTCTGAGTTTGGCCTGGAGTAAGGGCTTGGGAAATAGTAGCTGCTGGTCCTCTGATGTTCTTGTCTTCCCTCTTTCTGAGACCTGAGCCAGCCTGGGGTCGGGGTGAGGTGTAGGGGGATGTGGCTTACAGTATTAACCTAGGTCCTGACCACTGTGGGTCACGTAGCTCAATTCACAGCCTCCTGGTAGGATGCCTCTACCTTTGACAACCTGGAAGCTTCCTTAGCCCTAGAACATCACCCTGCCCGCCCCTCCTCTCTCACACACCCCCCAGTCCTAGAGCTAGACTGACAGGCTCCTCAGTCCTTCCCACTCACTGGGGAGAAGCTGTTTCTTCTGCTGGCCCAGTGACTTTGGCCGCCATCCCAGG